CTACTAAACAAATTTTTGACTGTAAAATGAATCTTCGGGACTAAATATAACTAGAGAGCTTGGTTGTATGGTTTGTTTAGATTTATTCAACCGGAAGATAGTTATGATTACGGACTGATGTCTGCAGAAGAACCTTTGAAAAAATACGGAGTAACAGTGTGGTTTTAAGTCAGAATTTCTGGTTACTCATCAATACGTACTAACCATTTCATACGCGATTCAACCACAAAATATCAAGTCACGTGGAATTCGGCGGTTCAGTAGTTTCAACTTAAGCCCGTAGATAAATCAGCACCGAACTAAAATAAAGTAGCTGACTAAAGCTCCTTGGTTTGTGATGGTTTCACTAACGAGAACTACTTTCAAATTGGTTCACATCTCTAATTCTTCTGACTGGACAATAATCGTTTGTTCGTTAGTGATGAGTTTCGATAGGACTTTTCTTAAGTTTCAAGGGGAAGCCAATAACACATGGAATCAACTCAGTCAACAGTTAGATAGTTGTCATCTATAGGAGTACGATATCTCTGGCTATGTCCTGAATTAACTGAATTTAGATATTTGGGGCAGTAGATTTAAACTTCGTGGTGTTAGGTTGTCGTAATAGTTGGATGACAAGAAAATCCTAGTTTAAATTTCATATAGGTTACGTGTAAACTCTGTCAGGGAATTTTAAACAAAGATAGTTTAGTTGTATACAGCCAGCTGTTCTTCATCAGATCTCCAGTCTGTAGCGAAAATTAGCCTTAAGAGAAAAAAATTTTTATATCGAGAAATGAGTGTCTAATTGTGCTTAAAGCCTAACTCTTTCATTTTACTATAGTTTCAAGATGAAAACAGGGTGAGGTGTACGATGATGCTTAGTAAATGAACAATCCAATATGTAAGTCAAAATGATAAAAATACAAATCTACTGTCTGAAACCACGAAACTCCATAGCCGTTAAAATTCACTTTAGTTCACAATGAAAGATCAGAGTTATGAGAATACTATCTAATTATAGCGGAGCACACTTTTTAAGCATTCATGTGTGCTATTGTAGTTTATGTGAAATAACTATTTATTTAATTACTAGTTAGATTCTCTTGTTTATTAAGGTTCTAGGATCAATTTATGCAAGTTTTTTTGTTATGCAAAGTAACATCTTTACAAAAACATTAGGCTACAATTAAATATTACTCGAATCATAATATAAATGGTTAAAACGGATCAACAAGATTATAAAACAATCCATAATATTAATTAAAACGGACAAACAACACTAAGGTCAATATTATTTGTCACATTATCGTGTTTTATCGAAATACACACAAATAAGGTTTATAGAATAAAATATATTAAATAAGATTTGAACATTTTTCAACGAACAGATCATAGATACAATAGAATTATCACATGCTTTTATCATATTTTTCTGTGTTCACTTAAATTCTCTAGAATAAATCGTATCATTTCTTTTGTTTAATGAATTGAAACAACAACTACACAAAAATTTGTATATATTCATTTTATTTAATTAATTCTTATTATTATCTAATTTCTTCCTGTTATACAGATTGGTAACAATTTATACTAGTTACTTACCAAGTTGTATTAATGTATTGAAATATGATTCAACTATCTAATGTTGACTGATCTTTAGTAGGTAGAGCAATTATTTGTGAAATTGATTTTGTTTAGTTTGTAAGTTTTATGTTCATTCTTAAAATAGATTAATACTTAAGTGATCACCGAACACCGATTACCACGACGTGCAATGCTAACCGGGGTAGGGGATGGTTGGAAGAAAGTTAGGGGCGGCCAAACCAAAACGTGGCATCAGTGCCTGAAGTCACTAACTTCTAGTCTGAGCCACGTTGGTAGATGCAGACTACTTGGTTGGGGTCCGCGTGACTTTCGTAACCAATGGTTGGAGACTCTTGGTGACATGGCTCAGAATCGATCACAGTGGCGTCGGTGTATACACTCCCTGTCTTCCCTTAAACTAAGAGACTAAAATCACTTCATTCTTTCTGTCTACGAACTAATTCTTTCTTCCTATACTATATCCTTATTGCAACCTTTGACCTAACCACTGCTATGAATCCGGTGTTCATCTTGCTGTGCTAATGAGGTATGGCAACCTGGACCGATGCACATATGTGCCTGGTCATACGTTGTAGCTGACTGACTGACTAAGTGATCAATTCTAATGATCTAACCTTTAGCTATTTGAAAGTCGAATCCGAATAAATAAAATTAATAACTATACAATAACAAAATAACTATAAAGCTATGTAGTCCTATTTTGTGAATATTCAAAGTCGAATTGATCAGTCTGTATTAGCCTGAGTGTTATTAGAAGATGAACCGAATTTACGTATTAATTATATTTTGAACGGTGACTAATAGTAGGATTCACGTGTGTCACATAGTTGTGATTTTCTCCAGCTAGACGTACCTGAATCCTAATGTTGTTATTCACAATCCAACTCTAATTCAGTACCTAGCCCATTTAAATGCCCAGATTTCACTCACCAGGCTACTAAATCATCATAACTATTAATATATTCAACGGATACTGTTGATTATGAGGGCTTGGGTTTTCCACTTTACACTGATGATTAGTAAACGATTAGGCGGAGTGGCAGTTAACAGAAAAATTAGCAAAGATAAATATACCTCGTGGATTCTGCATTATTGAGATGTTAGGTGGTTGGATGCAGTCAACAGGAAGCCTAGACATAAGTTTCGTTCTATTCGGAACTCATCAGCAAGGCATACCTGTAATCTAGAGGGAGTTGGTGTCCTTAGCGGAATCGATCTCGTGTCAACGAACCTCACAGTCTGTTATCAGTGAGCTATTCGAGTCACAACTAACCTTTTGTAGGGCTGAGATATTTACAACTAATTGATAACTGTGTATTTACCGATCAAGTTGCAACTTTAACGGTAAAGTTCGACTACCACTAAAAGGGATTAGACAGACATGATATCGGCGACTACTCATTGAAGAATTAATTGTATATACTTAATATTGTTTTTGATAGACAAATTCAGAGTTGATGCTAACATTTTCAGTGACAATTGTCCCAATTAAGCTTTTTGTTTAACTTGAAAAAGGAACAAAGCAAATAATGACCGTGGAAATATGATTTAAATGAGTTGTTGGACAGATGACGATTCCAATATGGAACAAATTGCCTCGATAACTAATAAATTTGTAGTCAATAATTAAACACGAATGTTTAGAGGTTAAGCGTTCGTGCGACGGGCAGCCTGTGCTCCCCCATCAGGGGTAACAGGTGTAAATATTTGCTGTCCTAAACTCAACAACAGTCGATTTACATAGATTCATCCTTCATAAATAATTTTTTCAAGAGGTAACACGCGATGATTACATTAAACATGTTCATTTACAAAACATATTGTAAAGAATATCATATCTCCCTAGTAACTTTTTATTGTTGGCCAATGCTTACTCGTAAACTAATAAAGACCAGAATTAAAACGTCTCATCAACGTATACTCATGGTCGCATAGTGAATAAAAGAACCTAGGACTGTCAGATATTACACTAGTCATGATACCTTTCACATACTGAGATGGAATACAATAATGTATTTTTTCAACTAATCAGTTGGTAGTCTACTATTCTTCGATTTCCCTAAAATAGGTTAAGATCATTTCTTTTAATTTGCCTGCCGTGATTCAAATGAAACAAAACTTGTACATATTCAATGGTAATGCAAAGAAAATGTTCTGTAGATTTAATTCAAAACCTAATAACCTCGAGCGATATGAATTGCACTTTTTTATCTGTGTCGATTTCTAGGCTTAATTTTCTCAAATATATTTTCTAATCATTTTAATAATAAACAATAGAGAAAGTAATAATAATATGAATAATAAACTAATATATTTATCGTTATTCATTTAAGCCTCTTGCATCCTAACTTAGTTTCATAATCAGAGACAATCGGAACAAAACATTTAATTCCCAAGACCTATATGCAATTGAAAACAGCCATCTGATACTTGGAAAAGTACCCAGTAATCACCGAATTTAAGATCATACAATCCAAAAATTAATTAATGACTCAGTTAAAGCTCAACCATTAGTTTTCATGGAACACTGATGCACTTCCGCTACATATCATATTTCGTAACAATTCTTCAATCATTCATATTTTGGAGTAAATGCCGAATTTGTTCGACGTTATGTTTTACAAAAGATAAGCCTTTGTAATTTATTTGTGTTCATAAGATCTACAACCAGGCTGAATACGATGGAATTATTACGAGTGTCCTGCTTACCAATGAGGAAATTAAAGGTTATATAAATTTGAGAAAAGCTGTATTCGTCATATAACCAGATGGATTAAAGTTATACATTTAATTGCATTTTAGTTCTAGTTTGTAGTTAGTAGCACAAAACCAGTATGCAGGGTTTCCTGTCGACTACCTCAAACCACCATCTAATCTCAACATAGTGCACGCAGTGTCGAGTCACCTAGACTGGTGGACACATTGCAACATTGTCGATAGCATTCGATCTGCACTAAGAAGGACTTGACACACATGACATTGATCACCACCCAGTGATCAATCAATCGTGAGTAAACGGGTGTCTATTGACACTTAATTGTCTAAGCACCATTGAAAGTCCAGTCATCCGTCAATTTGCCACTGACCATGATAGCAACTAACCTCAATACCTACTGGTGTATACATCAAAAGCATAGATTTGCATTAAGTCAAAACAGTCTGCTTGATGAAGGTATTCGACTAGGTGCCTGGTTGGCCATGAAGGTAGCAACTTGATACATTAACATATATCATCAGCTGCTTATCTAACCACTTCCCCAGTCCTCAATCAACAAGTGACCAAGCAGAGAAAACCAAATCGAATAGATGTCTTACATATTCCTCTATAGCACAACAATAACTCCACTTCTTGATAACAATTTATCAGCGAATCAGAAGTCGTTGTTGCACATAAAATATAACCAAGAAAAAACACGATGTTTAGAATGCCAACTTTATTCATAGGACAGCATAAGCGAACTATCACCTTAGGATTGAGAGAAAAAGCTTTTGTGAAACAACACAACCAGTACAATTTGAGTGTTGAGCTAGATCACCAGTACTCACCATAACGTGTGCTAAATATGTACAATTTTCAGGTGAGGAAAACGAAAACTTGACTAAGAGTACAGGAATTATTTAATTAATGGCAGGAAAGAATTGATTGTAAATATGACTATAAGTAAATGAGTTAGAGTATTAATTCTATTATTTTACAACTTAAACTAATTAGTATTTAAATAATAAATAATTTAAGATTGTCTTTTTCACAACAAATATGAAAAGAAAAGAAGAGATTTAATCGTCTTTAGGTACATTCATAAAAAGATAAGACATAGATTCATCATTATAAATACGTCTGATAGCTTCTGCCAATAATGGACTTATATCAACGGTACGAATTTTGTGACACTGCATTTTTTGTACTTCATGTGGTACTGTGTTAGTTACAACTACTTCATCTATACGACTTTCTTCCAATAGACGTGGTGCATCTAAACTGAGCAGACCATGAGTTGCAATAACAAATATCTACAAATGACAATAAAATAATTTTAGAAAATAAACATTCTCCAGTTGAACTACACAGAGGGGGAAAAACAAGAGAGGGCCTTGTTCATAAATTCCTCAGTCTAATTTGTCAAGAACCTTCGCAATTTCATGAAATAAATGGAGAAGACAGTTATTGCACCCAGAGTTTCGACTGATTTTTAGCATCTAGAGAACCAGGATAGCTCAAGAGGATAGGTAGTGGTTGGGCATACGTATTACATACGAATCATCTAGGTCGATGAATGCTAACAATTTTATCAACCGATCTACCAAAAGTGCCAGATCAAAAACAAGTATGACCTGTCCATAATGCCAAAAAATTACCAATTTGTTTTCTGATAACTGCTGTGAAATTAATTTGTTACTTGAATATAATGTGCAGGAGTCCGCTTTGTATTGTTTGATGGAGGTAAAGCATGGCACATGAAAGACGACATCTATATAGTGATTTTTTGTCACAGGCATTTTTGGACTTTTGCTCCAGTATAGTGGTTAGAGCGATTAAGCAATACTGAGGCTAAACATAGGGTTGTGAATCCTCATTAACTGGGGTAGTTGGAATATGTTTTGCATATGCATAGCTATCGCCTACCTCGAGGTACAATAGACCATATACGAATAAGCGTAATTCCATGAAATAAGTATTAGTCTGAGCTATATATTTTAAGATCCAACCCACCTAATTGAAGGTTTTTGCGATAACAGAGACAAATAGTTTGAAATCCTGAGTGACATTGTTTGGAGTCGATAACAATACAACCGATACATCCACTCTTCCATTAGATCTAGAATCCAAGTGCTTCCTCATAAGCATCTTTTCACTCTTTTCGAACTATATTTTCAGTGGTAAGTCTTCCTCACTACCGCTGAGAATACAATTATTTCTACACCATTGGTATTAATCTTGTTTATTTAATCTCGTCGTGCTGACGTAGAATGGTAACTTGGCCTTAGGTACATTTGTGTTCGATCCTACGTTGATTCTGACCAGAATGATTGATCTAACCAATAAACACCAAAAGTCGAAATTTAAATGCCTGATAAACCGTCGTTTTGTTAAGAGTAATCTAGAACTGGTCTGATCAAGAAAAGTAACAGTTACGTTGTATATAAGTATGCTTGTTAGAATTATTGTGTGGTGAAACATTTTTTATTGTACAATGTCACACATAAAAAAGGGATAAGTTGACTCCATGTAGTTATGTAGTTAGCAATACTCCATTACTATATTAGAAATATGACGAACACTTATATGAAAAAATTTAGTCGACAACTTGAAAAGACTCGATTAACCGGATCCTGGTGAATTTCTTTAATGTACGTGTACTACTTCATCTATAATTTAGCTTCCTAGGCTTTGATCAGTGAAACGCTTAGGCTGATACGATTAATGTTGAGTTGAGGTCAAGGTAATATTAACTCCTATTGACCCATCAATACACACTCGTCCTGAGTCTAATAAAAAAAACAGACAAGCTTTTATTTATGTTTCAAGCACCCAATATATTTATCCCAAACACTAATTAGTTCACATACATGATTATCAGACCGGAAAGCACCTCAATTAAGAAGTCATTGTTTACATATAAACATCTCATAAGTGTCAGAGGATGGAATAAACGTCTGATAAGTCAAGGAATAACAAAACGTGTAACGACAGTTGATACATTCGAAGAAATCCCATAAAAAGGTAATATAAACATAGTAGTTCAGTCATTTAATAAACCCACAGTGAAAATATGGATAACAGCATTCTGAATAATCCCAAAAGTCCTAACTTATCTAAAACTCGTTTCGTCAAAATACAAGCTAACAAATATATCTTGTGATAGTTATTAAAGTTCGCTAACGTTTAAATTTTCCTTTGTTAATAAAATTAAGAACACTTAAAAGACTAAAAATTGTAACCCCTACTTGAAAATTAAAACATATTATGCCTAGCAATTCTATAAAATTAGCTTATAAAATTACTTTTAGTGAGAATAACTAATAGCCGCCATAACTGTAAGGCTTTAGCCTTTAATATACGTTGGTAAACTGTAATAAAAACTTACTTTATATGCACCTCGTTCATGCAGTAGCTCAGCAGCAGTAACAAACTTTGATACATCATCTATAATGTCGTCAATTATAATAGCGATTCTTGAATTCACATCTCCAACCAAGGTTAAAGGTGGTTTAGCTTTAGGTATCATCATAGGTAAAAGTTCAAGGCCAATTTGTGTACATCTACAGATGATAAAAACTAAATTTATTCGGTGTTAAATGCGAAATGTATCCTTTATTTTGTGTATTCAGATTATCGTGTGATTTCACTTTTATCACTCTACAGTCACTTCGTTTTGTGAAATAGATCTTGCAGGACCTTAATATGATAATCATTCTTGTGTTATAAGTAATACGGCTGAAAAGGATTTCAGTTTGGGATTGGATAATTGGAAAAAAAGCCTGGAGCTTAGATGTATATTTTGGCAACTCAAAATCTACTTCATACTTATTTACAGCTTGGGTTATTATTTTGGGAGACAATCAACCAACGGATTTCATCTAAATAGTCCGTTTCATCACGTATTACAAGTGTAAGACAGGATACAGAAAATAAATGAGCTACATATTCAACACATAATAGGCATCAAAATAATACACCAGAACTTCGGGTTGACCAGTGCCAAACCAATTGTGCATTCACTTTGATATTTTGTGGATTAACAGTCCCATTAGAGATTATAGAACTTCCAAAAGTCAATCTTTAGCAGAGTTGACCACTCGATTGCTTTCCTTTAAACCTGTGGGTCAACCAGAGTAAGTTCCTGAGTAAAACTTCTTACTAAACATGCATAAAACTCATGTTTGCAGTTACCCTACCAGTAAATTTCGTAATATAGAAATTGAAATCAAGGTATCTTTTCAGCCACTTAGAACTGTCTACACCTGTTTAATTTGAAAATGCTATCCAAAAAAAGACCAGAAACCAACTAAAACCAGTCTACAAGGAGTAGAGATAGTTCACGTTACAATAGAACTCGGACCGCAGCTGAGTTCGCACCACAGACTTATATAGTGCACAAGTCTGTCGCATTGTCTGTGGATCTCTCATTAGTTACATTTGATAACTATTATGATGAACTGGTTAGTAATAACACAGTTTCTGCCCTAGTGAAACCATATTTTTGTGACTATCCTAAGGTGTTCACATAGGTTTCTTAAAAAAGGAAACCAATTCTATGCCAGTAATGAAAATACGTAAATGCTCCGAAATTATTTGAATTCACTTAACTGTAAATATGAGGTTCATTTGCCTTTATATATTCATTGCATAACACCATAGATTTATTTCAATCTCCACTTTACAAAAAGACAAAGGAACATGTAACGTATAAAGAATAAGTTATCAGTAGATTTTCTGAATATTTCGGCATAATTACAAATATTGCAATGAAGAAGCAAACGCTTGCATAACAAACCTTTTTTCCACAATACTTTGATCCAAAGGTGGGGAATTGCGACCGTCAGTATTGTCACTTTCATCTCTTTCTTCGCCATGAATAACAACTAATGGTAACCTCAAACGTTCAGCATAACTGCTAGCTCGAGGTACTACTCCGGGATTTCGAGCAACAATAACTGCGTTTCGATAATCAGTTATGTATGTTTCAATGTACTTTGTCAAAAACGGAGAAGCACGTAAATTGTCAATCGGAACATCGAAAAACCCCTGAGGATAGTAAACAAATAGATAACACTGTGGGTAATTAGTGACAGGCAGTAGTAAAAATAGCTACGAATTGACTCAAAATAAGGACTATGTGGCATCACTCAAATTCACAGAGATATTGAGTGTAAGTCTTTAATAAACCATAAAGTAATAGGAGTGCTGATCTCATCCACTTATTAAAAACACTTGCACTCTTATTTATAACATTTACAACAAAAAAATGAAAACCAATTGTTAATAAATTGTAAGTTCAACTATATAATCTAAAACTAGAAGTATCATGAAAAGTTCCAACCGAACTTCGATCTTTTTGATAGTTAAATGGAGCCTGTATGTTGTCCAGGAATTCTTAGTATTACGAGGAACAGGATTACACCTCATGATGGGTTAGCCTGTTCTCTATACGTTAAGAAGGGATCACCTATGGTGTCAAACCTTTTATATGGATACTTCTAACACTGTATATTGAGATTTAAAAGGTAATTATGGTGTTTGTCGGACACTAAAAATAAGCTTTAACGTCGGTATGGATACAAGTTTGCTTGTTAGATATGCCTAAATCAGTTGAATATTTTGAAGTAATCCATTAATCCTTTATTGCGTGGACACTCCTGGAGTACCTGACAGCTAGGCCACTTATTTGAAAAATAGTTAGGTTGCAGGTAAATTCCAAAATAAACATATCCCAATGACTCAGTAACCATAGTCGATTGTGGTCGGAGGAAAACTCACCTGTTAAGATGGTGGGGATTTTTAGCTCAAGTGGGTGATTTTGATGGAAGCTTGTGCTGATGATGTCATTCAGAAGATCGACGGAAGCTCCACGACCGAACCATCCAGCTTAGAGCACGAAATTCCATCAAAACCTACCTATTAATAAAACGCCTAGTAAACCATTCTAATAAATGATAACACCAACACTGACACTCTTGAAACTTGAAACACTATTTCAAAACTGTAAAACCCAATGATCAGTCAAGCTTTTACCTGAATCTCTTTTGAATGAAGGTCCAAAGTGATCAAATGGTTGATTCCTGAAGCGCAGAGCATTTTAGCTACAAGTTTACTGGTGATAGGGCCACGCTTTCTTCTTTTGCTCTGTGTTGAGTAAGGTAAGTACGGTACTACTGCAATGACTTTACGAGCGCAAGCTGATCTGCATGCATGAGCAATAATCAATAGCTCCATAATGTCATTGTTGACATCCTTAGTTCCTGATTGTATAATATAGACATCTCGGCCTAAGTACTAGGGAGAACAAAAAAAGAACATTACCCCTGACAGTTTCTTTGATCTCAACATCCGTCTCGCGACTTGAACGGAAAAATACTGAACAGTTCCCAGGACGAACGTCAAGATGGTGACAAACAGCCTTAACTAACTCAGGGTGAGAGTTACCAGCCAGTATAACCATCCCTTTAGATCTTAATAACCCCATACCAACTACGTTGCCACTTCTGTGTACAGAACGACTCACAGGGCGCATACTTCTACAGTACATTTCCGGGTAACACCAAACCCATAAAACCGATATCGAGTAACCTTAGGCAACGCTTCAAGGGTATCGTCCACTGATGAAGGCTGGTAGCAAATTGAAGGTAGAACCTTAGCGCTGTTACGAAGGTCGGAGACATCTTCAATATCCAATACCCGTGTGACAAACTAGCATGAGCACTTAAATTCTTTACATTACTATCTCCGTTATTCAAGGTTTGGGCAATATTCAACTATATTGAAGCAACTTTACACCTATAGTTCAGCTGAGATGAGTAATTATTATACGTATTTTAAAAATATGGCATCTCAGTAACAATTATTCATGTGAAAAATTGTGAAGGTTCGAACAAGTTTCCAAACTGAGTAGTTTCGTGAGTTATCGACAATGATATTTACAACATTAGTTTCATCGTGCACAGGCCTAGTTGAAGGCACAAGATCAAGCATTTGTACCAATTCACGATGACATGATAGGTAAGCAGAGCTGTGTCTTGAGTACAAGTTACAGGTATTGTAAAGTGGGTTGAGACTCATAATTTTTCATCTGTGAGCAGTTCTTTCGCCCATTCATGACAACGTTTAATGGTTCCACTTGCTATATAGTGGAGGTGCCACGGGTATTTGGGGTTTGACAACGCTTTAACCAGTAACACAGCATGAGTCGTACCCACCAAGTGAAATCAAAGGACAGAATTGAGGAAGCTCGGAGATATATTTTATAGACTATCAGTTTATCGAGGATCGTCTGATCTAGTCTGGCTAGCGATTGCAAGGGTTGTTGAGCACGGCGTTCCCACTCGTGATCTGGTGCGGATGTATGATCGAGCGCATTCAGGTAGGTGAGTCCATTAAAATTAATGTGGCCAGCATCCAATTTCGAAAACTTACAGAGTTATTTATTTTCGGGATTTGTTTATCACTACTCTCCCTCCTAGTGGTGTAATGAAGACCTTAAGACGTGGACAGCTAGAAGTTTAAACCCAACGAGATTGTCGTTGGTAAACACTCTTATCATAGCTTGCTGGGTTTAGCAGCGTCTGGTCATCTGTCCTTACTATAAGGGACCATGAAGAACAATATAGTAAAAAACGAAAAAGTGCAATGCAAATTTTGGTTCCTCTTAATATTCATCGTTCTTTTTATCGTCTTTTCCAGCCGTCCTGGAAAATAAAAAATATGTAAGTGCATGTCGAAATACACTCGTACACGCGTAAAAACACAAAGCAGGCGAAAAAAGGGAAATAAACTCATGTGCACGTAATAGCGCTAAAAAAGTGTTTTTTAATATGGTTTTTTGGTTTGCTTTTTTTAAATAGAAATAAAAATATATAAGCATATTAAAATTGGTTTTTTTTATATAGTACAAAGAAAATTCGAGATTATATAAAATGTCAACTAGTATCTTACGTGCAATAATCGTCCAAATGTTCAAGAAATCTTACTCCTTTTCCAGAAAGCCTTGTTTCAAGTTTATTTTGTGATACTGCCGAAGTATCATCGTGTGTGATGGCTGTAGGTTGAGGTATTATAAGTGTAGGAGCCGTGCCGTTCGATTGTACAGAAGGAAAATCGACGTGAATAGGATTTCCTTCTAAATACAAAAAGACAGTTGTAACTTTCAAGGTAGCTGTCAAATCGTGAATGTGAGGCAACGGGTAACGATCGGGAATAGTTTTTGCATTCAGTAGCCGATATTCACCAGTTGGACGCCAATCGTTGTTGTCCTTCAAGGGAACATGTGAAACAGAGATGCCCATGGGCTGTTTGACGGTCGTACGATTCCTACGTCTATCGTGTGAACGAATTCGTTTTTGGCTAACCTAAGCTTTTGGGAGGCCAGTCGGCGTGCTTTAGATAACACAGGTGGTCCTGTAGTCGTCATGTGATATGTAACGCTTCTGGTTACACACGGCAATTTCGCTTGCGTTTGGTATATCCCAGAATACTTATCGAGTGGTGGTTGATAGGATGGGTCTATCGTGTGCCTAATTGTGACTGGAGATAATCTGCAACCGGAAAAAGAAGTTACACAAACAAATAAATTAGTGTTCCCATCTACTAGCCTCCGTTCGCGCGTATCGATGATTAGATTGAAGTGTTGTATGAGGTCTATACCAATGATTGGCATAGAAACATCTGCAACAACAAAGGTCCATATGTAGCGATAGGCTTTCCGTTTGCGCCTGTATGTTTAAAACGAATTCGTGGAGACGGCTCTTAGAATTCGTTGGAAGAACACTGACGTCTGCGCCAGTATTGATGAGGTAGCGAACTCTCGTTGTCACGTCTGTGACTCATGACAGACAGCTATGTTCGCCGGCTACGGTTGCCGGCTTAGAAGTTTCCCGAATTGTTCTTCGTGTCGCACGATTTTGAGCCGGGAAAATCGCGGGGTTTTCTGCAATTTCTGGGGGACTTTCCATACTGTTTATGATACCAGTACCAGGCGAGGTTATCCGTCTCCCGTGGTCTAGAGACAGATTGCCTACGTGAAGTGCCTCTTCGCAGGGTGTGACCATTTGCGGTCGTTACGAAATTTAAGATAACGCGTAGGTGTATGACATAACTCTGTTATGTCATTCTAGGTCGTTTGAGGCTTTTCTTTGACTGAAAAACCTCGGCATTAGAAGATTTCGTGATTTCTAAAATGCGGTCGACAGATGCAACCAGCTCGTCTAAGGCGTTGTTGTGAAACGAGACAAGCGCAGCTTGCACCTGTTGAGGAAGTTTGGATAAGAAAAGTTGCTTGAATAGACCATCATCGAAAATTCTTTGGCGGATAAACTCTCTCCTTCTTTGCAACATGTCTGTCGCAGAACCGTGTTGCACGTCGATGTTATTAAGGAGTTGGCCTAACCTTTGTCGATCGGCTAGGTCTCCACGTTTAATGATAAATCGTCTAAGTGTTTTGTAGGGTTCTGAAACATCATAAGTAAACATGCTAGGTGTTACGTATCTGTTGAATTCGCGCGGTAGTGCCTTGACTACTGCGAGGTATTGTGCACGTGCCTGTTTATTCATCCAATGAATCATTTATGAATGCATATACTAACCATACGTAATTTTTTAAGGTTTTCGTAGCGGTGGACTAAAAACAATGAGAACGCAGTGCCTTATACCCTTCGTAACCTTGATGAGGGTTTGAATTATTTTGCACTGCAAATCTTAACAGCAGTTACCCAAATACGCTGTCAAAATAAAGTAACTAACGCATACAAGGTAATATTTCCACGGAATTCGTAAACTGATGTAGTACCTTCGTTTATCATACTCGTGAATAAGCTTTCATTGCTTAATTATCAATTGAAAGTATTGAAAATTATTTTGTTTTACAACCAACGAACCTCTGCGGTTATATTTAGTTATTAATCAGAGTAAATGCTCATATTTTGGGGAAGTTGCTCTATGTGCTTACAAGTGCTCATAACGAAATAAAGCGGACGCTTACTTATTTCAAAGTGTCGTGTTGTTACCCTTGAACGTTATCGGTTTACCTTCCTATAAAACTATGGTAAAGGCAAAATCAACAGTTGTCGAAAACCGGTCATGGATGCTTTCCATTTGTATTACAAAATCTACGTTACACATTTACTGAATATATGACCTTGAAAATCAAGTGAATCGGACTATGGTAATCAAGTATCTTCTAATGCACTGACCTGAAGGTAAAAAGGAAGATAGGTGATCATTGATTAAAGGAACGTATACTTGGTTGTACGTAAAGGTATAGGGACATGAGTTATTACGATAATTAGGAGTAGCCTAGTTGATATTCTAACTAAGAATCCCTATGATAATGCAATTTAGAGAAAATAAACCTGTCAACACAGCTGAACGTATGATATTTAGAATTCGTAATAAGTTCGGAGTACTGTCCAGATAAATCACTATTGTATACAAATATCACAAAGTTTTAAACTAGCTATCTAGAGTAGGGAAAGGATTTTGTAGCAGGTCGTGACTTTATCTGGTACTAATACCTTAACTGAGTGTCGTTAACTAGGCGTTGCCCTTAGTGAATCAGCAAATCGTAAACACAGGACTATAAATTTGGTAAAGAATATGGAAGAACGGGAAGTTCCTCCATTAAACTGGTAGTAATTCTCACCATGAACTACCCCCAAGATTATGGTCAATAACCATGCATAGTGTGTGTACTTTTTGGTCACTCTACATTCTTTCTAGCATTATTCAATAAAAGGTTGAATATTACACATGATACTAGTTAGTATTAATTGGTAAGATAATTTAGAAAGAACTCTTACTCCCGAATAGGACTTATTTGTTTGAATCTAGGAGCAATTTTTACTAATTGAAAAAAGGGAATAAAGTACAAGAACATATGTTCATGAAATCCCAGAGGACGCTGATGTGTGTTGATATATTGGGCTAATTAGAAATTGGCCAAATAACAAGTACATGTGACTGAACAAGAAATGTTAAACGTCTCTAAAGTACCATAGGCGGTTTGATTTTCCAACAGACAGATAAATGTATGAATAAGTTTACATACATGTCGATTCAGATAACTATGAAGAGTTTTCTACTTGCTCTCAGTCTGCTCACTGAGGTAGCCGGTTAGTCTAATTTACAGGAAGATTGGGTATCCGTATCGAAATTTAAAACTGAACAACTCGACAGATTTTTGGAAAGGGAGGTGAGATAAAACTCCAAAATCACACGTCATAATAGTTCCTTTCATTGACTTAGTGAGAAAATGACCCAGTTCATAGCACTGATCGCAATTTCTATTTTTAAATTCTCTTCATGGAATAAACAATTAGTGAGTAAAAAAAACAAGGTTTATTCATCAAAGCAAATATTCGATTTAAATTCAAAGAGACAAAAGAACATAATACATGTATGTTTCATGAAAGATAAAGTATGTATAAAATATACATGTTCATAATGAATTTATTGTTAATAATGTTTCAGTCATTATAATTATACAACGTGATTTATTTGAAGTGTATACATTTCTTTTATAACTGTCAGTAATATGAGAATGTCCTATATATGATTTATTGAAGTGGGGAAAAATTAAAGAAAAAATAGTAATAATAACAATGCCATTCTCATCATCATATTTTCATTATACACTGATGAGCATTAAAATCAGGTGTTTAGATTTATTCCATCAATACAAAAGAAGTTACCTATTATATGAAGTAACGAAGAAAAAAATTA